CATTTATCCCATGACTTCTTACTTTGCTTAACAGCCTTTGGTGTGGGACCTTGTCAAAGACTTTCTGAAACTTCAAGTACACTACATTCACTGGTTCATGCTTGTCCAGGTTTCTTGATCCCCTCAAAGAATTCTAATAGATTGGTGAGGCATGATTTCCCTTTACAGAAAACATATTGACCCTTCCTCAACATAACATTTTCATCTGTGTGTCTGACAATTCTGTTCTTTACTATAGTTTCAACCAGTTTACCTGGTACTGAAGTTAGGCTTACCAGCCTATAATTGCTAAGATTGCCTCTGGAGCCCTTTTTTTAAGAATTGGCATTACAGTAGTTATCCGCCAGTCACCTGGTACAGAGGCTGATTTAAGCAATAAGTTACATACCACAGTTGTTAATTCTCCAATTTCATATTTGAGTTCCTTCAGAACTCCTGGGTGAAAACCATCTGGTTCTGGTGCATTATTTCTGTTGAATTTATCGATTTGTTCCAAAGCCTCCTCTATTGACGCCTCACTCTGGGCCCATTTGTCTGATTTGTCACCTAAAAATAATGGCTGTGGTGTGGGAATCTTCCTCACATCCTCTGCAGTGAAGATTGATGCAAAGAATTTATTTAGCTTCTCTGCAATGGCCTTGTGTTCCTTGAGTGCTCCTTTAGCACCTCGATCATCCAGTGGCCCCACTGATTGTTTGTCAGACTTCCTGCTTCTGATGTACTTAAGAACAATTTTGCTGTTAGTTTTTGTGTCTTTTGCTAGCTGCTCTTCAATTTTTTCTTGGCCTTCCTAATTATGCTTTTACACTTGACTTGTCAGAGTTTATGCTCTTTTCTATTTTCCTCATGAGGATTTGACTTGCAATTTTTAAAGGATGTCTTTTTGTCACTAACCACCTCTTTTACTCTGTTGTTTAGCCATGGTGACTTTTTTTGGTTCTCTGGCTACTTTTTTTTATTGTTACTTGGTACATTTAGTTTGGGCCTCTATTATGGTATTTGTAAAAAGTTTCCATGCAGCTTTCAGGCATTTCACTCTTGTGACAGTTAAATGGAAATTAAAAGGAATAATCTTCCTTATTTTTGTGTAGTTCCCTTTTTGGAGTTACAATGTTACTGCAGTGGGTTTCTTTGGTGTTTCCTTCCCTACAAAAATGTTACATTTACTCATGGTTGCTATTTCTGAGTGGTTCCGTTATATCCACTTTTGGGGCCAGACCCTGTGTGCCACTTAGGACTAAATCAAGAATTGCCTCTGCCGTTGTGGGTTCCAGGACTAGCTGCTCCAAGAAACAGTCATTAATGGTGTCTAGACATTTTATCTCTGCATCCCATCCTGAAGTGACATGTTGAAATCTCCCATTATTATTGGGTTTTCTGTTTTTGTAGCCTCTTTAATCTCCATGAGTATTTAATATTCTCCGTCACCATCCTGGGCAGGTGGTCGGTAGTATATTCCTATTGCTATTCTCTTATTATTCAAGCATGGAATTTCTACCCATAGAGATTCTATGGGACTGTTTGTTTGATTTAAGATTTTTATTATGTTTGACTCTATTCTTGCTTTCACATATAGTGCCACTTCCCCACCAGCACAACCTGTTCTGTCCTTCCTATATATTTTGTACCCTGGTATTATCATGTTCCTTTGAGTATCCTCATTCCCCCAGTATCCTCATTAAATATCAGGCATTCAAGTTCACCCATCTTAGTGTTTAGATTTCTTTCATTTGTATACAAGCACTTATAACATTTTTCGGTATTTAGTTGTCTGCCTCCATGTGATGTAATTGAACAGGACTCTTTTTCATTTGGCTGTATCTCTTCAGTTCCTATGTGTACTTTATCAACTTCTATCCTCTCCTCTCTTTAGAGTATAGAGTACCCCTTTAATAAATCCTACCTTAAAGTGTGTCTCTGTCAGAACGGTATGCTCTCCCGCACCTGTCGGCTTTCCCCCAGCTGTTGGTTTAAAAACTCTTCTAGGAGCTTTTGATTTTTCATGCCAGCGATCTGGTTCTGTTTTGATTTAGGTGGAGCTCATCCTTCCTGTACAGGCTCCTCTTTTCCCAAAAGGTTCCCTACTTCCTAATATACTTCAGTCTCTCCTCTGAACACCATTGTCTCATTCATGCATTGAGACCCTGCAGTTTTGCCTGTCTAAACTGGCCCTGAGTGTGGAAGCATTTCAGAGAATGCTCCCATGGAGGTCCTGGACTTTAATCTCTTACCTAGCAGCCTAAATTTGGCCTCCCAGGACCTCTCTCCTGCCTTTCCCAAAGTCACTGGTACCTACATGTGCCACGACCATGGGTTCCTCCCCAGCACTGCATGTAGTCTCGAGAGGTCCACAGTCTTTGCCCCACAGGCAATTTGCCAAGCAGTTTTCCCAGTCATTATTAGCCCATTTATCTATATTTCTAATATTCAAATCCCCCCATTACTGTTACCCGTCTCTTCCTAATAACAGGGGTCCCCTCCCTGAGAGGAGCAGCCTCAGGCAAGACCAATGCCTTAACCACAAGGCCATCCTTCCTTCTTCAGGGCTAACCCTTTGCCCTTGAAGCCAATGGGAATATTCCATTATATTCTGTATTTCACACATTAATAAATGCTTAATGTGTAATAGTGGAACCATTACAGTTTTATTAGCCATATATAATGCTTTCCCTCTTGATATGACTTTGCACAGATTAACTAGCTGATTCCAGCAACGCATCAGTGTGGGGGAAATAGCGGGACAGGGGCTAAGTGCCATGCCCTTGGTCACAGAGAGAGTCATTGTCAGAGCTGGGATTAGCTATCAAGGGTTCACAGTTCATTGTTCAGACCATGCTTCTCTTTCTATTAGCAGGGCCATGACCAGGGTGGGGCAAGTGGGGCAACTGCCCACGGTGCAAACCCATGGAGGTGGAAAAATGAGGCGGAGAAATGCCGAAAAAAACCACAGCAGAGGGTGCAAATATGCTTGGTCATCCTGGGTGCTAAAACGCATAGTTACGGCTAGTTAGAATATTTTAAAATGAAAAACAGTGCTTTATTCCAGTAGTGTCCACTAGGCAAGGGACAGTTTGTGTTTGTCACACACCCCGTTTCCACTCTTTAAGCTTTTGGCTGTTTGCATTTGTTGTTAGTCTAAAATAATGCAATGTTGTCTTCCATAGATGCCTAGATTCCAAGGCCAGAAGGGATCATTGAGATCAACCAGTCTGCTCTTGTCTAACGCAGGCTATAGAACTTCCCCACAATAATTCCTAGAGCGGATCTTTAAGAAAAACATCCAATCGTCTAAGTTTTAAACATTGTCAGTGATGGAGAATCCACCACAACCCTCGGTAAACTGTTCCAAGGGTTAGTCTCTAATTTTGCTTTTTTATAAAATGTTATTTTAAAAAGTTCAGTCCACTCAGTGATCCAGAGGTCAGTATTTGCTGGTCACCTCAGGGGTTGTCTGTTAACAAGACAAAGCTTATAAAAGAATTAATTTGAAAACATGGAATTTAGGGCCTGATTTTCCAAGGGGCTCAATAAGCGTTGGGGCTGCCTAACATCTAACAAGATCAGGCCCTTTCGTGTTCTGGGACCACATTGGGGAATCCTAGATACCCGGATTAGGAAATTAGCTTCTTGTTTCCAGTATGCAGCATATGTATTATGGCTACAAGGGAGGATTAGCTCAGTGGTTTGAGCATGGGCCTGCTAAACCCAGGCTTGTGACTTCAATCCTTAAGGGGCCCATTTAGGGAACTGGGGTTAAAAAAAAACAACTATCTGGGGATTTGTCCTGCTTTGAGTAGGGGGTTGGACTAGATGATCTTCTGAGGTCCCTTCCAACCCTGATATTCTATGGTTTATGATTTGCTCTCTTATCTGTTTCATACTGTAGCGGTCTCTTCCTGTTATCTAGAATGCAATTTTTGTAACAAAACAGGAATTGAAACAAACAAGGCAGTGTTCAAACCATGGCATGGCTGCATTTCATTACTTTTCAAATATTATTATGGCACAACATGGAGGAGAAACACAGTGCAGAGGAAAAATGGAATGGTTGCTGTCGTGGCCTGGGTGCTGCATGTGCAATTTGGGCACAATGTCACACTGTCTGTATTATACACCATTCCAATCAAAGGGTGACTACAACATTTGCACCACTGTTTACAGTTGAAATGAACTTTTTTTAACACACACTAATATTCTTTAGGAAAATACCGCATTGGAAGAGTGGCTTATGTGAAGTTCTTGAAAAGACACTATAGCATTAAAAAACCCCGCTATTGCAATGTTCTGAGACTGACAAAAGCAAGCAATAGCCTCCTTCCTCCTGCGTGCAGGGATCTCAAAGCTGTGGCTAATCTTGCATCACATGTGCTGTAACCACCTAGTAGGATGACCAGACAGCAAATGTGAAAAATCAGAAGGGGGAGGGGTAATAGGAGCCTATATAAAAAAAAGACCCCAAAATCAGGACTGGCCCTATAAAATCGGGACATCTGGTCACCCTAGCTCCTGGGCCGGGGGGCTCACTTAAGGACGTGCCCCCTGTCGCTGCCTTGGCCCCGAATTCCTTAGCCAAGCTAGGCTGGGGGGCGTGTTGTTAAACCCGTCTTTACTGAGTGGCGGTGGCCCAGTCTCTGCAATGGGGGGTCCGGGGGGGGGGCGCTTGTTTAAAACAGGCAAGTCGCTCTCTGTGTGCGGATGCCAGGCGCGGGGTCCCGCGGGCGGAGGCGCTGGATCGGGGGGTGCAGGGGGGGTACAGCGGGGTCCAGCCTGGCTCAGTGGCTC